ACAATTTGCCATTTTTTAAATAATTTGCATGCATCGAGGCTTGACATGACAATGTATTGTAAACGATTGATTGTGTTGACGTTTATAGGTGTGAATTGACATGTTAGTGGCTACACGGGCTCCGCCCAATCCCCCCTTCTATTATCTACGTATTATAGTATTCTATGATAATACCTAACGGAATTTAAAATAAAATAGAAAAATGTTACGTCATAATGTGTGTGCAAATGCCTAAATTACTATTATCCTATTACAGAAAACAAATAAAAATATTAATTTATGTTTTTTAACTGTATTTTCTATGATATCCTTTTAATTGTTTCATATATAACAAATGATACATATTTTTAATCTCTTTTTATTTCAGCATTTACGACGAAGGTGTCTACAAATTCCATGGCATTCCATACGCAGTTCCACCAGTCGGAGATAAAAGATTTACATATGCTCAGCCCCTGAATAACTTGTCTCTGTGCTGGAATGGCACTCTCGAAACTCACGAGCCCGCACCCTTATGTCTACAGTTCTTAGAAAACGGCACGATCATTGGCGAAGAAGATTGCTTGACCCTAGATATTGTCACCCCTCAAGTCCGTTACGACTCACCATTGCCTGTCGTTGTATTGATCGGGGCCAACTCTCTTGCAGGCGGTATAAGTCCTGCGCAACCGTCAGCCTTATATGCACGCACAAAAGAAGTAGTATTTGTACGGCCTAATTTCAGACTTGGGGCATTTGGTTTCTTAGCACTCGACATTTTATCAAATGCAAAGTACCCGGCCACATCGGGAAATTACGGTCTGAGCGATTTACTAGTTGCGTTACAATGGGTGCAATATAACATTAAACATTTTGGTGGAGACGCGGAGTCTGTCACTTTGCTCGGGCACAGAGCTGGTGCGACCTTGACAGCTGCTTTGACTACTGCTACGAAAGCTCAGAAGCTTTATTCTAGAGTTTGGCTTTCCTCTGCCTCTGTTGTATTTCCCGGTGAACCTTTACAAATATCGCAGAGTAATAATGAACAGTTTAAACAAATTAGTAAATGCAGCGATGCTGACTGTTTACGGCGCATTAGTGCTATGGAAATTCTTTCTGCAACTCCTGACACCTGGCTAGGTAATAATATCGATTCCTTACCATTAGCTGACGAATTCAAGCGTTCTTGGTTAGTACTAGACGGAGACCATTTGAGGGTACATGCTTACGAAAGTTGGGATGCGCAAAAGGAAGCAAAAGAGAAAGGCAAGGAAAAAGTATTCAAGCCGATGGTATTTGGCACTACCATGCACTCCGGTCACACGGATTTGCTTAAAATGAAGCACATAAACTGGACTGCAGATATTGTGGAGAAAATGGTCAACGAAAGTTACATTGGCGAAAAGAATTTGACATCGTCGGTGTTTACATACTTTAACAAAACATATGAGGGCTTAGTCGAGTTGATTTCGTCTATTCGTACCTTGTGTCCCTTAGTAAGCCTTGCTCGTTTACGTCTAGCTGCGCCCATGTACGTGGTTATCGGCTCAGGTGCGGGTGGCGGTGTTATGGGCTCCGGTATGGCAGATATTAATTCCGACGTTGAAGCTATTCTCGGTACATTTGAATCTGCAATGCCTGAACAGCGACGGTACATGGCGGCTATGCAACAATTCTTTTATTATTACGTATGGAACGGTCGTTTATCTGGCCCTGAAACTGGCTTGATAGCCGTTGGTCAAGACTTACTCCCGCTTCATGGGTTACCAGTATGTGATCTCCTTATACGAGAAGACGTTGTACCCAGATACGCCCACGTCGATTAATTTACTGCGGGCTCAGTGATATTGTTTAAAGTTTATTGATGTAATCGTGTGTGTCTTTTACAATTTTTCTATGCATTTTCTACATATCGTTTTGCTTACATCGCGCCACCTGTTTTTGTAACGTTTTTATTGATATTTGTACATGTAGTTATTTCAGTTTGTACTTATTGTGCACGTATTTTAGACTTAAGTGCTTAGAAACACACCTGTCGTGTTTATTAAGAAACATGTTATTATTAGATTAAACAAAATAAGAACAGTTAAATGGATCATTATAAGATCTGATAAGTGCCACTTTTGATGTAATGTCCAAGTAATGTGTGCAGTTTGAGTCTCCCTAGAATGGTTAATTTTCAAACATTGATATTGCCATATAATACTCTGACCAGTTTTTTACCTTTTCAATTTACAAATTAGCAGTAAGACTGATTTTGAAATATAATTAATCTTGATCTCATGAAAAGGCATTCTGGGGATTTTATTTTTTATAATAATAATCATAATGTATTAAACTTTATAAATCATTAACTATTTCGGTATTTACTTTTATAGATCTGACCATAATCATTGAAATGAATTATTAATTTAAAATAAGACATATTTTAGTCTTATACTATTATTTAAGTTAGTGTCCATATCTGAAATTGTGATTTACTTTGAAGTCTGAATAATCCAAAGAGTGATTTTTGTCGATATACTAACCAAAAAGCTTTTTTTAAGGTTAATTTAGCATTTTTGCTGTAATTATTGTGTAATGTGTTTTTCACTATTAGTTTTAAATACATGTCTTGCCAGAAATTAAATAGTAAGGATTGCAGTATTAATACCAAAGGCTTAGTTTGATTGAGGTGGTGATAAAACCAATTACTTTAACTTATATTGCCAAACTTGTTATCGTGTACCTTACCCCTCGCTCAAATTATTTTTTTAGTTGTTTGCGAAGTAATGTAGTAATAGTCGCAAAGCTTTTTGTAAATTGGTATCTTAAAAATAAAAGACTGTCTTATATAAATTCTTTTCTTTATAGTTTATACCTTGTTTCTTTTTTGTGTAAATATATTATGAATACTATAATTTAAACAAAAGGGAAACCAACTATAAATAATAAAGGCTTTGATTTTCCGATCATTTTTAGCACCAACTTCAGAAGCTATTAGATTATGTAGAAATTACCTTTATTTTCTTTTGTGTTAGCATTTTTATGTTTTAAATTATGATGAAACTTTCATTCATTAATATTCATACATTCTTACATTTCATCCTAGTCCACTGCTAAACATAGTTACCATAACCATGGTAAACATACCATAGTTGCCACGCTTATAAGACAGGTTGGCAACCGCAGTTTCTATTTTCTAAATTTTATTACGAAGACGCTTTGTCCATCTGCGTTAACTAATTACGTAGTTTTTTTTTAATCTAAAATCATTCGTTTAAACTGTTACACATATAAAAATAGTTTAAATTTTTTCATATAATTTATTATCAGTTTTTTGAGGGAACCAATTGTTTGAGGGAACACAGGACTGTAGTGTTTGCTCGATCGCAGTGACGTCACTGAACCAGTTTCACAAATAACACAATTTCATACTATACCCGCACGTGCTATAAAATACAAGACTATATTATTATTAACTCGAACGAAAATAAGGACTTTCGCTTATCGTGAAACTTCGGATTATTTCGTAAATTCAAGAATTTTTTGCAATTGTTTTCCTGGCTTCTCTAGGTGTGGTGCTGGAAGATAGCAGAAATACAATTTTAAGTTAAAATCAATATGGGTGTAAGTTTCATATTGCCGTTCCTCATTAAGTAGGTACAAAAGTGGACAATTTTCGATTTTTACGTAATTTTCCTTCAATCAAAGAAAGGTCGCCTTCGCCGCGCCTGTGTTAGAAAGGGATTGTTGAGGGCACTGTTTACTTTGGCAGAAAAGTGTATAAGAAGAGGATGTAGGTACTGTAACAATTAGCTAATTTTAACATTTCATGTAATAAACGCTTAACGCCTACGAGCCGCAGCTAGAAATGGCACTCCTCGGCATTTCCGTACGGGATAAAATGCACAACCAGGCTATCCGCAAAACGAAAGAAACTGACCTAGTCCAACAGATCAGCAAGGCGAAGTGGCAACGGCACACACATATAGCTCGAAACATCAACAACCAATGTAATGGCGGCTGTACACGCTCGTTGAGACACCACGAGACAGGCCGAATATGAGTGTGTACATGGTGCTCTCGTTGCGTCTCGTGGCCCTCGTGCGCTCTCGAACTCGGAAGCGTGTCGGTTTTTTGCGCTCGAGTCAAAAGGTCTCACGATGAAAATGAGAGCCTACTATATTATATTCACTGTACATGGTTCATTTACGGTAAATAGAAACCATCCACCATCTTCTTCTTCGCCGTGGCTTATTAATTTTATTTTTAAGGTAAATGTGCAAAAAGTTATAATAACTAATAGCACAAAGGCAAAACGCAACAACAGTTTCATCTACGTCCATCTCAGCGGGCATACGAAGTTCAAATGATACAACGAATATGTACATGGCGTGTTCTCGTGTCGAGCCTCAACACGAGAGGCACGCGAGGCGACGAGACGAGCGTATACAGCCAGCATAAAAGATAGTAGACAGTAGATAGACTCGTACTGGCAAGCGCAGTTTTAGGCGACTCTCCACTAGATAGACTGAGCTGATGAAACAACAGGTTGTCGGTGGATGCAGGTAGCTCAGGACCGTACCTTGTGGCAATTATACCATATCTACATGGCTCCCGTAGGGAAGGAGGCCTATGTTCAGCAGTGAACTTGATTGGCTGTGGTGGTAGTGCATGTGACAGAACTGCAGCATTATAGTTCAGTTAACTAAAGCTGGCACGTACAACACATTTACACGTTGCGCTTGTAGTGTGTGAATAAGCCCTTGGCGTGATGTCGCACTGAATGCGCATCATGAAATTCTGCCCGTCTCTCTCGCGCGCGATTTGACTTATGAGTGTGAAGGAGATAGTGATTGTTTTGCTTTTGATACTGTTTATAAATACAGCGTGGTCTTTTTGGTAGTTAGCGTCAGTCACGTGTTATCGACGAGCGGCGCGTTTGTTTATTCACTTATTTGGAGTTAAGAATAAAATGTCTTCTGAAAGAATTGGTTCCGGCAATACTTTAACAGGTCAATCTCGTGAAATAGTGTACAATGTTTTTAACTATTTCATACATCATCATAATAAAAAGTGATGGTGGAGATCGTTTAATTAAAGATTTGTACGGTTGGACATCAGAGGCGGCTGGTGTTTCTCAGAGAAGTGTTCAACGAGTTGTCTGTGAAGTACGCAATCAAGTTATAGCGGCTGTTAAAGCGTCAACATCACAGCAATCTCCCTCAGGAGAAGGAGATCCACCAGCATCCAAAACATTGGTGCCTCAAGTTACTTTTAGAACACCGGGTAAAAAGCGACCAAGGTTAGCAAAAAAATCTTCAAACTAAGATAGTTTTGACGAAGAAGTCATAAGGCGAACCATCTACAACTTTCATCTGGTTCAGCATACATTTCCGACATTAAAAAAGTTATTAGAAGTGTTACAAGAAAGTATCAACTTTGAGGGAGGCATTTCCTCATTAAGGAAGATCGTTCGGAGGCTAGGTTTCAGATGAAATAAGACACAAAATAATAAAAAAACTACTCATTGAAAAAAGTAACATTAGACTCAAAAGAACATTATATATTTCGAAAATGCAAGAATATAGATCACAAGGCCGACCTATAATATATACGGATGAATCTTACATACTCAGCTCGCATATGTTGCCATATACATAGCAAGCAACACATATTTTTATTTATTTATCCACAATGCACCTAATCTTACTAAAACCTAACTCTAATCTACACTTAGACTCGAGTCGCATTTTGAACCAAAATCATTTATTTTTAAACATACCGTATAGAAAAATTGCATAAGTGTGAGTACTGTGAACATGCCAGCTTTAGTTAACTGACCTATACAAAGTCACAGGGCACGGGTAGCGAGTGAAGTACACAAGTTATATATTTTAAGGTTATGATTTTTATTAGAAGAAAAATCAATTTGATGTTGGTAATAATTTTTACTGATGACAATATTATTATAATAAAATGCAGCAGCGAAAAATATTTTAACATACCATTTAATCAAACAAAACGTATTTTATAAAACAACTAGGTCAGAACCAAACATTCAAAACTGATAATAAATTATATGAATCATTCAAAACTACGATTTACGTTACATACATAATTAGCTTAATTTATAATAAATTAAATATTTGCAATTTGAAAATTTGCATTGTGATGTAATTAACTAAAAACCTAAAGCTTATTTAATGATTACGTTCCCGCAATGGAGAAACCACAGTCTGTAGGTTTTCTTTTCCAATTTTAATAGTCTTTCTACTAAGAGAAGGTGACTTTGGCATAACTTGCGACTGTTCCAATTCCTTTTTCATTTTATCTATGATAGAAGATTGCTTAGCCAATGTCATAGTGAGTTCTTCGTTTTCTTGACGGAGTAGAGATAGCTCAACAACCAAGGATTGTTGATCTTGAATCTTCAAAAATAAAAAAAAACATATGTTAAAGTCAATAATATACCTACAAATTAAAAAAAAATAGTTTTTGATTCGCTTTTAACCTACACAAACATATATTATAACCTACATAAACATACATATATTATATAAAAAAACAGTACATTAGGATTACAAAAATAAAGAAAAAAAAATGGTTCAATGACAATACTTGTATTATCACAATCTTCTTTTGTATATGGGCATAGTATTTGTAACTGCTGAGCTTTTACTCAATAAATACCTTCACGCTGACATGTGCGAATGATCAAAACCGCCATAAAAAGAAAGAAGAAAGTTTATTTAAAATGAAAAAAAAAATATACGTGTTTTTCTATCAAGTGCAATCTACTTCATGTTATTAAGGCTTGCTTTTGATAGAGATGAATAATAAGCAGATGATAATAGGCTTCCCACTTAAATCACCCTTAGGGTCAGCGCAGACCGAACTGCAAAATGCTCGCGCATGCTCGAGCAAAATTTTGACTACTCGACCATGCAGGCGGCATTCGCGCGCCTCCGCGAGCAAGATCCATTGAATGTGCTCTGGGTTGCTAGGGGGGCGTGCATGACCAATTTGATGCCAAAATCCGACGTTGATAGACGTGTACAATATGATCGATTGAGACTTGGTGATTGGTGTACATGAAGAACATATTAATGAAATCAGACGTCAGAAAATTAGAACAGTATGGGTAGAAGAAACGTGGAGATTCTTTCCCAAGCATTGGCTTTTAACATACGATCGCTGTATGTTGGACTTGATATATTGTACAGACACTCAAAACGCTGCACCAAACTTATCAACTTTTCTTCGTCCATGATTCCGACTTATGTGACGCGCTTATATAAACTAAACACACGTCCAAACAGTTTTTTCGCTGCGGCAATACTGAGAGCGGGCGGTGGCGGTGCGAGCGCACTCGCGCATGCTCGAACATGCATCCTGCAAGCTCGAACATGGTCGAGCATCACGTTTGGACGTGTATATAATTTTGCACTGTCTGTCAATATTCATAAAATTAATATTTTAGTGTTCTCCGAAAATGCTCTGCTCTGCTCTTGGTGTGCGCTGACCCTTATGCCTTACCTTGCCATGTTTGACTGAACAACTAAACAATAACAAAATGAGCTATTAATACACTATTCCATATATTTTGGGTGTTGAAATAGGTGACAGAGGTAAACTGAAACAGGAGATAGTCAGCAGCATCTTCCTTATATAACACAAATATCTACGAGCATCTATGATAGATAGTGACTGATTAGTGATTACTACATTATGATGTATGCTTGAATAGAGAAATTTGCCATGGCTTAGTTTAGACTAAAGTTTATTTTATTTATAATCTGAATAAACAGTTTTGTATCTGATTCTAGTAACTAACATGATATCTTATTATCCAAAGTACCATGACAAAAAATCTTCAATTTTCAAGCGTCTATATCCTCCCATTTATTATATTGTTGAAAAGCAAATACTTAAATATAAATATAAAATATGAGAAGTTTAAAACACTTTAAAATAAAACTAGCTGTTTAGGCTACAGGAGGTTCAACAAAGTAGTGGGGTAGGAGGGGTGGCAAGGGTGGGTACTACACACAAAGTATACCCAATAAGATTTTTTTTACCTAGAATTGCCTACCCTAAAAAATCATTTAGAAGATCTCTCTCTCTCTCACTCTCACTGATTATTACTTGGTATCCCTTCTGTATTACTCATTAAATTATTTCGTTACTTTCATAACTTGCGCCCTCCATCCCTTCCACTCCTAATCTACGCCAAAACAATAATAAATAGTTGTGATTACATACAACTTCCATGAATCCACCTTGATTCAAGCAAACCTTGATTTATACACAATTAACTATACCAGGGATAATCTTTCCCACAATTTACATCTTAAATAAGACACATATTGTTAATAATAAAAGTAATCAATTTTTTAAATATCTGAAATAACTAACGAGTTTACAGTCCACCTGATGGTAAGTGGTTTCTGCTGTCCATGAACACCTGCAGCCGACTCCAAACTAGGATGCCTTTAAGGACTAAGACGGAATGCCTCGCATCCTGTAATTATCCTAGCTCTCTATACCCTACAGACCGGAACACAGCAGTACAAGCACCACTATTTAACGGCAGATATAGGTACCTATTCAGATGGATTCTTAGGCAGAAAGTGTCCTACCACCTGGTGAAATATTTTTAGAATAGTAAATAATGATTTATAATTTAAAAAGCCATCAACACTGATTTAACTAGCATAATTTTCAATGTGAATGGAAAAGAAGTAGTTCAAATAATCTGAATTGCAGTCAATACCTGTTTTTGAAAGCAACTATTTTCAGCCTCTAAACGAGAAATTTCAGAGGCAGCCTGCGCCAAAAGTGCACGTGATTGTTCAGCAGCAGCTGTGGCCTGGCCTGCATGTTCGGTGGCCAGTTCACACAACATCCGCTTCTTTTCCACCTAAAACATAATTGTGAAATAAAGTGTTTATTTTTTGACAAAATAAATAAAAAATTAGGTAGTAAATCATTTATTTTTAAATCTTCAGTTTCAGTATAATTACTTAAAATGAGGAAGATTTTTTTTTATTTTTAGCCTAATAAACAAACAGTGCTATGTAATTATAATAAGAAAAAAATAGGACCAGCATGTGCTGTGATACAATAAAAATAAAATAATGGTAAAGTTATTGTATAGTTATTCCTCACACACCAGCTCTGACAACCTAAGAAGCAGGATATGCTTGTGGCAGCCAGCTTCCTCCACCATTTTATAAGGAAATGGATGGCCTGTCATGCAATGCAAAATTTCTTACTGGAATTCATTTATTACAGCCTTTTATTAGTCCAGTGCTAAACATGGGTCTCTTTATTAGATTTCCTCGTAATACTGTTCCACGCTTGACATGAAGATGCTGCAGCCCTTCCCCTTTTTTTATACAATAAGGTGACAAATGAGCACACAGTCCACCTGACGGTAAGTGGATACTGTAGCCTAATAGACATCTAAATTTATCTTCCATTAAGAATCAAATTGATTGATCCTCAGGGGTGACAGATGCATTGTCACCCCTGAGGAATATCGAAGGAATGCCTCATTTTCAGTAAAAAGGGTCTCCGGTTCTCTACACCACCATATAAAACAGCAGAAATGAACTGCTATTTTATGCTGGTATTCTGTGAGAGTGATCCTTCCCTGGTGAGCCAACCTATTCATGCTACAACTACAGAGTGGTTCTATCACATATAAAACTCCTGTTTCAGTTTCTTCCCATCGCCTATTACAACACCCACGGTGTGATATGAGGTCGTTGATTCTCTTTCTACAAGGTATGAAATGAATGTGTAACCAGAATATTAAACATTAAATTTTTGGTAAATTCTTGTTAATTTACAAAACTTCATATAATTTACTCCTAAATGCATTACTTTGTATGGTAATAGAATTAGTAAGTGTTCTCAAAAATATTTTTGACTAAGATTAAATAGCAAAACACAAAATTACAAGTATGGAATAACACAAAGAATGTTGCTGTGTATTTTTTGTAGCACACAATTAGAATAAAGTCCATACTGATTAGTGATTAGTGTTGGAATGTTTCACAAATATTAACTTTGGTTTTGATTCAAGCACTTCCATACTTCGGAATGATAATCTAAGCTAAGGTTTCTGTAATAAAGAACAATAGTAATGATAGTAAATTTAAACTTAAAGGTTACCTCTTCACGAAGCATCTGAATCTTAGAATCAGATTCTTTTTTCAATAATTCCACATCTTCAATGAGTTCAGTTTTAATAGTTCCAAGTTCACGATATGCCTCCTTTTCTACATTCTGTAGACTTTCTATAAGGGTTACATTATGCTCC